AGAAAATCATTTTACTAGATCTCTTTAAAATAAATTCCATTAGATAGATCTTCTTAAATATTATAAGTTCTATAACACAATTATAAATTATAATAATAACTTATTTGATTTACATGCAACCTATCTATGTTAATATTACGTAAATCCAAATTTCCATTATAATTCCGGAAATCAAACATCCGATGGGATGCCTCTATTCGGGAACAACTGGCTAAATAAATATCAGTTGAACCCAAAACCCTTGACATCCAAACACAATTGCTTATGAATAGCTTATAACAACTAACAAAGTGTTAATAGCTTCGAGTTGAACTCATTGATGTTCGTGCTAAATTTAAAGTTCAATATGGTTAACTATTACGAGTATATATAACTCTGTTGCTGAAAATTCTCGCGTGAAATAGACTGAAACTAACAGTTTTGCAGTTATAGAAATGTCATTTAACCATTTAATCTCGTAAACCATATGTAGGTCAAACTTACACGCGCATGAAACTGGAAACTTTCGAAACTGTCAAATTTTGTATCCCTTTCAATTAGAGATTTAGTAAGATTTCATCTTACTATATAAAATGGAAATAGTTTCAAACAAGAATTCATTATTATGAATGACAACAACACTTATTCTGCTGTAAAAACAGAACTATTGTTTTTTTATAGGATTTGGTAATTATATAGCAATATCTGTATACAATATTTTAGTCTATCTTTATATTACTCCAATATCAGATATATTTAATATCGGTTATCCAATATATAATCGAAATGTATATTGATATCTGACTGGTATTGGCAATATTGAAATAAGTGATGACCTTTTTTACTGCCAATAGTGTCCAGAGAAACCCTATATATAAGAGTCGTACGTATATTATCCATGCCTAATTTCTTCACTTATGAATATGTATTATAATATTCCAAATTCCATTATATGCCACCAATTTCAAGCATCAACAGAATTAAATGTGATTTTTTATCCACTGTGTTATTTAACACAGTTGATAAAAAATCACAAATTATTTAATCCAATAATGCTAAGTTTAAATTATATCTTAACTTCGTAAGTAATTTGGCGTTCAAATTGATAAGATGGCCTAATAAAAAAAATTCTACTATTTAAACTGATTTTTTTAAAGAAAAATGTAGACAAATAGATCCAGCTATTTAGTTTACATGGGAGGCTCAAAATTTATTGACATCTTTTTACTCGTTTTAAAAATGAACAGTACTAATAGAATACTTAAAAGAGTATCAACAATTTAGGTTTCCCTTGTACTTATAGGATCATATCGAATTTAATTTTCACACTGCCTCACAAAATTATAATAAAATACATTGCTTGAAATATTGAAAAAAAAAATCTTTTAGTCCCAGGCTTTGGTGTCATGGAAATTGAAGTGAGGGCGGCGAAACTTTGTTGGCTTCGTGTTTTTAATTAAAATCCATTTGTAGAATTGAAAAGTTCGGTTTCATTGAGAAATGTTTATATCGAGAGAGTCAGTTCAATTGCGTTTTTCGGTTCTTTTTTGTTATATTATAGATACTAATTTATATACCTACACACTGAATTTGGGGCGAGTAAATATCGCGAAAAGATTTTTTTTCGTGTTACCAACAATATTCGCCGTTTTACTTCTTCCTATTCGAATTACAAAATGTGTTATTAAAGATGTTTGTGTATTTGTTCTCAATTACACGGCTCTATGGGTTTGAATGAAATAACACAGATCGACCATAACCTAGTTTAAAATATACTTCCATCTTAATATAAACAGGAGAAGTCATTAGTACATCTAGTTTATTACTACTAAATTTTACACGCTTATATTACGCTTATATTACTAGCTTTTACACTCGTAACCGGGATATGTTTACTGATCGGGATAAAAAGTAGCCTATTTACTTCTATATCCTATATAGCATGTTTATACCAAATTCCATAGTGATTGGTTCAACCGTTAAGACGCTATAAAATAACAAACAATGAAATTCACTTTCACATTTATAATATTAGTGAGAATTAATTAGTTATCCTTTCTTTTATTCTTTATTCTTTATTGTACACAAAAGGTTATTGAAATAGAAAAAACAAACAAACATAATAGTACACAAAGGCGAGCTTATCTCCAAAAGAGATTTCTTCCAGCAAACCCAATATTAGAAAAAATGACAGTTTATTAGTAGTTACAGTCATACATGTGTACCAATCGACTTTAATGTTATAGTTAAAAATATATAAATAAAATGTCTTTACAATTGAAAACACCGAAAGGTATAAATAAAATTAGTTAATTAATCAACACAAAAATTAATAAATGAGTATATTTACATTGTACAACGTAGAAATTAAAATATTATAAATAGCTAGCACCCTATCTGGGCTTCATATGATTTTATTGAAAATAAAATACAATACACATTCCTCGCTAATAAATATATCTCTGTACATCTTCAAAAAATTTAATCTTCCCTCTTTGTAATATTGGTTTAAATAAATATATTTATAAATATTATAAATATTAATATACTTATAATTGTAATAACCAACTTATTACTAATTATTTATAAATTATTATTTGCTTTATTGCTAAAAACTAATCTCTTCCATACAACCTTATTGTAACAAATTATATTATCAAATATATAGTACCTTTATACATACAAATATAATACATGAATCCACACAATACACAGCTTATAAGCTATCTTATATCAAATCTCCTCTACTAGTAATTCTAACTTGCAGGAATACTTGAATGAAGTGGATACAGGTTGCTTCAATTAATTAGCTCTATTCGTGTGTCATGGGGGTGCTTGATGATTCTCCGGTCTTTGAGATATGCTGATGAATTCACAAAAGCTAGATCTAATTACTAGACGATAGACATACTATGAGAATATGGCATTATATAGCTGTTGATATAGTTAATTTATATGATTAAATACGTGCTGTATTATTTTGGGAAATAAATGTCAGAATATCAGAGTATGTACAGACACAATTAAAAGAATGTTACCTTAAAATATATGTTAAAGACTTCAGTTTAATCAGTATTAATTTTAAAAAAATGTTAAAAGACTCCATCAGAATGGAGCTCCCTGCCGTATCAAGTGTGAACAAGTATAGTAAACTACGTGGTCATTATATAAAATATATCAATTTTTGTTGATGGAAGTCCTAAAGAAGCTATAGTTAAATAAGTGTGAATGGATTAACAGAAGTTGGGTATTTTTGTTATATTATTTGTTATATATATATATATATATATATATATATATATATATATATATATATATATATATATATATATATATATATATATATATATATATATATATGTCATATACAAAGTAAAATAAGTAAATATATTATTTAATAGTATAATATCTAAATTAAATGATCTGTGAGAACTTGTGCTTTATTTCTATTTATTACCAAGAGGCTTACAACCTTTATATTGCTAAAGAATCTATTACCTTACAGTTATTTATCTAATTTGATACGCGCATACTAATGGCAGCGGAATTAAACAAAATAATTGCAATCAACTAACTGGTGATTTATACTTCAAAAAAAATAATGCCTAATTTAGTAAATTATTTGGTAGACATCATAATGAAACATTGTGCACTATTTACCTTGTTCTTTCAAATATATTGGTATGAATATTATATCATTTTTACATTTAAATTTAATTATATAAATTTCTTTCACACAGTATACTCTGTGTGTGTTAATGAAATGGTAACCTGATTTACAGACACATGAATAAAAATGTTGACCTGTTTTTGGCGAAGCATTTTTATAGAGGCACTTTATTTATATAATCTATATTTAATAATAATATCTTTTTTGTTTCTAAACTGTATTTATGAATCCTACTGTCTAACTACTGTCGTAATTGCAAAAATTGTGAGAATGATTAGCTAGATACTTATTACTCTTTCACATAAAAGCTGATCGAATTTTAATGAAATTTGGTATACAGATAGGTTATCATTCTTTGGAATCAACTTCCAGCAGCAGTATTTCCGAACCGATACGACAACATAACCTTCAAGAAAAGAGTATATTCCTTTTTAAAAGGCCAGCAGCACACCTACAATGCCGCTGGTGTTGTGGGTAATCATGGGCGGCGGTAGTCGCTTACCATCAAGTGAGTGCATGCTCGTTTGCCCCCTGTGTTGTAAAAAAAAGATAGGTTATTTCCTAAACTCTTAATTTAGCATATATGATATTTTATATACTGATTACGCAGACCAAGCCGCGGAATACAACTAGTTTAAGATATACATATGATCCTATATGTTCAGTAGTGTAATAAGCCCTATAGCAATCCTTTAGCTTTAACCCGTTTTAAATTTAGTGCACCGCAACGTACGCGCAGCTTGACACGGGTGCGCGGATTCCAGTTTTGTTCCTCATCTACTTTTTGTTTCGAGTTATTTTAATGTGTCGTAACGTGTGTCTGATACAAGTGTTTATTGCACTCTGATATTACATTAACGATTTGCTTATTGCCACTAAATATATTACTTTATTAACGAAATTTTGAATATTTTTTACAGGAGAATATAAAATTTATAATTTGTAGTTTTCACTTGCGATCGTGTTAAATTATACAAAACTGCCTATCTTTTCTGTTTTTATATATTTTTTTCCATAAATATAATTTTGTAAATTGTGAATTGTGCTGAAATTACAAGAATTTCAAAATGATTTTTACAAATATACTTAATTCTATTAAAGTCAACAATAAAAACAACGATTGATAAATTCAAATAAATCTGATATAAATATTAATGTTGTTTATCAACCATTGAGTTAAAAATAAAAAAAAGTGTTATTCAAAAGAAAAAGCGATATACAGCAAAAAAAAATAAACACAAATATTCCATTTTTAAATCACTGCACACAGGAAGCACATGAAGAACGATCGATATTATCATTCGTTATGAAAGCAATATGGTGTCGTGTGTTAACATTGATTTTGATACAGGGCGCATTTCAAGAGCTCAAGTTATACGAGTCACCGTCACAAGCAGAGGTGCAATGTGTCAACACCTTTAAGGTAAGTGCAAAATTTTTTTTTATATTATAAAAATAATAATTCTTTATTCGAACTTAAATTAAAATTAATTATGTTATTCACGCAATTTGGAATTTTAGTATTTTAAAAGTGTAAAAAATAAAATATCTTATCGTAATATAATTAAAAAATATATTGTTTATTGTAGTCAAAATGATAGAAAAGGACAGGAATTTGAATTTTTTATTTTTTTATTTTAGTTGTGTGATATAATTAATAACTTTGGCATTACCTTTATATGATTTACAAACTATTAAGGTACAGTTAACCACATAAATAATTTCTTTTTTTTTCTTTATAATAATGATTAGGTTATCAGACCAAAAACTGAAGACTACATTGTCTGTTCCACAGAAATATACAATTTTCAACGTTTTGACAGGATATCGGTAGCGGCAACGATGACGACGAGATTGACATTGACAATTTTTTGGTGATTGATTTTTTTTTTATTTTATGTTTACTCGCTTCGTTTCACCATGCCGGTGTGTGACTGCTCACAAATTTTGTCTATTGCTTTTGTGAGCCGCCTGTACACCTTTAACATGAACTGTGACGTTACTAACAATCACTAATATATTAATTTGTGAATGTCTTTACATATAATTATGTTATAATTAATCCACTATTTTAACAAAGACATAACTTGTAATGCGATATATCGAAAGCTGTCTTATTTATAAACTATCAAAACAAGTTGAGAACTGCTATAATAATAAGTAAATAATTATTTTACTGTTCATATACCTAAAAACACTCAATAACCAACTTTATGTAATCGTTAGTATGATAGTTATTTTTTTTTTTTTATTAAAAGGTAACGTAAATAGGTTTTAGTATAGTCTAATACTAATTTTCTTACAATTGAAAACAAAATTCCTATAAAAAAATATGATAGCAATTAATGTTAACATTGTTACCTTCTATAACATGAAGCAATAAACAAGAAAGAAAAAGATAGACAAATTCGATAATTAAAACAGATTAAACATTTGTCGTTTATATAAATAATGCACAAAATTATATTTTTTTAAGTAATAACTAAATAATATTACGTACTGTTGGCGTTCTAATTTTCATCACTTCGTGTTCCATATAAATTAACGATCAATAAATTTATAGACAAAAAACTATATTATCTATATAAAATTTGAGAAAGCTCGGCATGACTATAACAAGAACATCTTAAATAAGTAGACAGATAATTAAAAACGATCTAGATGACATCTTTCTAATTCCCCTTGTGAGCCGCCTCCATTTCAGTTATTGTCATTAAAGTGCAATAAAGTACCCTTAAAATGTCGTAACAGTTACTTTCAGTTATGTGAATAAAAGCAATAAAAGACGAATTTCTTCTCTGTACTTATAATATGTTCGCATTTCATCTTAATATCAAAAGATGAAGTTACGTTCATAGTAACTTTGTAGTCCATATTCATTCTTATTTACGAGCCACGCTCTTGTTGGTGAAGCTCCTATCAATGAATTTGGGAGTCTATACAGCATTGTTAAAAAAGTAATAGGAAAAAATGTCCGTAATAGTTTTATTTTTTTCTATTTTCTATTTATCATATTTTACAATAAAAAAAATGTTACACATAAAGCCGCTTTTACCTCCATTCAACATTTAAAAAAATAACTAAAATATAAATATACGGTAGAAGGTTATCAGCATTAATTAGTGAAGAATGAATGAATGGATGGAAATAACAGAACACACGCATCATAATAAGTTTTCTCTATCTACCTACTTAATGTACTTTACAGAAAAGATATAAAATTCTCAATGCATTTTTAAGAACTAGTTAAGAACTTATAATGTATTTTTTTATAAAATCTCTAAACAGAGATATTATTACTTTTTAAATTCTAATGAATTTTGTTCATGGGATATAGCCTCTGGCGATAAAAAAAATAATTCATTTTCCGCATTCTTCTCGAAAACAAAAACAAAGAATACTTTAATCGTTATAAAATTATATGGACTAACTTCTCACTGTTCTTATTTTAAAATTAATAAAATGGGCCGATAAACAACGAGATATTTCACAGATATGTCACAGACACATTCTAAATCTAAATATTTAAAATTTAACGTAAATTTTAAATATTTAGATTTAGAACGCAGAATTATATGTGTACACAAAGTTTGCAATACAACTAGAAGAGGGAGGAAAACCGCGACTATGTTAATATAATATCAATACGAGAGTAAATACTATTCATATCAGTAGAAATCATTACAATCTGTTTATAAAATAAAAAAAAATACATACAAAAATCAAATTCTTCCTTTTAGAAGTTTATTTTTTATGCAACTTAGAATGGCAAACATGCTGACGGCCCACCTGATGGAAAGTTGTAACCTTCGCCTGTAGACATTAGCAGTACCATAGACATAACAGAGTATGCTGTTTCGTCCAACAAAGTAAAAAAGAACAAAAAAAACAAAATATAAAGTCTTCCTCTGGTAAAAAGTTATCTAAAAAATCAAGTATGCCATTCATATACGTTTTAAATTATAGAAATGGAGAGATAGAGAAAGAGAAAAGGTACGTTACGTTAATTTTCGTAAAATCTACGAAAATAGCTACAGAATATTATTTCATATATACCAATGTTACACTGATACCTAGTAATCATACATAGTCCGGTCAACGTCAACGTCAAGAGCTCAACAACAAACTTCGATTTCCATAGTCCATACAAAACGATAATGTGCAAACACTCTAGTCCCGGTCGTGTTGTATACAAACTTTGTGCCTCTGAATCGATACAATTTCATGGCTACAGTGCGAGAGTGGCTATTTTTTTTTTAATAAAAACTACTCTTGTAGTCTAACATAAAAGCTGGATTAGTATAAAAAGCCATGAAAGAACCAAAGTCAATGACATAGCCCGAGGAATAAGCAAGCTAAAGTGACAATGGGCTGATCACATAGCTCGAAGAACCAATAATCGAAGGGGAAGAAAGGTTCTTGAGTGACGACCACGTACGAGCAAACGCAGTGTAGGACGACCTCCCATTAGATGGAGTGACGGGAGGAAATTGCAGGGAATCAGTAGATATCAGGACCAGGACCATTCCTTATGGCAGTTTATGGGGGAGGCTTAATAATTAAGTTAATAATGATGATAATGAAATATAATAGATAAAACGTTAATAGAAAATATGAACTGTAAAATATATTTTGCTAGGTAAAAAATAGCGACTTTAGTGAAGTCAAGATCTCTCATTATTTCTATAATGTCCCCCTAATACTCTATATTCGCATCAACTGGAGCTCTAACAACGAATGTAACACACGCCATTACATCCGTATTACATCGCTAGAATATGGCTCTGTCTAAATTTAAAACATAAAAAGAAATCATGATAAGACGTGCCAGTAAACCAAAAGATGTTTCATTGACGTGATTAATTCACAAATATTTTAATTTAATTAGACATAGATATAGACAAAGGATATGAAAATTAATATCGAATTTAACCGCGTGTGGAAAAATGATATTTTTGGTTTGGCTACATAGAAATATGAGAAACGATGAGGTTAGACACAGAACAAGTTGAAAAATATATTTTGATAAATGATAGATATTCCGCCATGTGGTCCCGGCATATAATGGGTCATCCCTTTCTCGTGGATGTCGTAAGAGGCAGCGAAGGAAACTTAATAGTTGAGGGATGAACAACGTCTCTCAACAACTCTCAACGTCTATTTTAATACATCACCAAAACCCAACCGCGGTTGCCAACCCGCCTGTCATGCGTGGGAGCTAGTGGCAAAAATAGGGAGAGGCCTACGTTCGGCAGTGGACAGTCAACGGCTAATATGGCATGGTATATGATAGATATATGTTTAAAATGGATATAGCTACTTTCAATTTTGTTTTTTTTTTTTTATAATATCACGCCATATAAATTCTGATACTCCTATTCTCAGCGAATACAATAGTCCGTGAATGCAATCAACCGAATAGTGAATGTTCTACTCAACGGTTTGCCGCACTATAGCGAATAACTAAGTACTTTTTCACGCTACGTTTGAAGGATCCAAAGTTATATATAGAACGAAGGGAACACATCACAGGAAAGGCTATTCCGCAATGTTACGGTACAGTTCACTCAAGAGTTTTCAAACTTATTTGTACACGAACGCGAGCGGTTTACCTTGTAGGGATGCAGTCGCTGTCATCGTTGGCCCGTCCTTGAGGTGCGATATCAGTGAGTTTCAGTTAAATAGGTTTTCTAACATCTTTAACAATACAAAAGTGCTTTATAACAGGAACTATAGTAATAGGATGGCAGTATTATATCGGAAATCATAATATTGATAATTTTAATGAATTTAAATTCTAAACCGCTCTAACTCAAACCATAACCTTCAAAATCGGACTTACTCGTGCAACGGTAGTCTGCACTAGTCACGTTTACATTGTATATTTAGACACAAACGCAAACAAATTACTATTTGTACTCCAAACGATGCAAGTAAATGACGTTGCAATTGACGATTAGATTTTAATAAAGATTACAATTTATCAACGGTCAATTGACATAAAAGATTACAAAAATCTTTTTTTTTTTCAACGAATAGAGGGTAAATTTTTTCAGATATGTACACTGCCTCAGAGTTTCGCAGCGCGGTAACAAATTATTCAGAATTACATTTTTAATGTTTATTATTATAATATATATTTTTTTTATTAATGTATTATGTCATTATAGTGTTTTATTTTTGGTTTTTGATAAGTGCATTGGTAATTTTATAAAGCTAAGCATATATATATGTGTATGTATATATTATAAACAAAGAAATATGTACTTTTGTTCATAACAGTCAAATTTGTTGTAACTACTTCACGTTGACTTATTTTTAGCGTCTTCAAGGAGATTTTCAATTCACATGTAATTTATTTTATTTCTAGAAGTTGTCTATTTCATTTTTTTTTTTATTTTTAAAATCCACGTGTACGATGTAACGCGCTAAAAGCTATAAAAACATTAAATGTCTGACCACCCTTGTAACTTGTATTAAAGTAGGCACTAAAGAATTTTCCAATAAAATACTTTTTTACGAAAATGTAAAGGGTTAATTCAATTCTTCCTTAATTAGATCCTCGATTGGAAACGGAAAGTCAAGAAAAAAGAGGTGATGAAATTAAATAAAATGTTCGTTCAATTGACGTATTTACATTAGTTTTATTCGATTTTATCTTCAAGTTATTTATACATATGCATATTTTTATTCTGTAATAATACATTATTTACATTTAATTAATAATGTAAAAATGTTAACTATGGGTATATACCTGAAAATAAAGTGATTTATTATTATTTTTTAAATTTCACTAAAATTCTCATCTCCCCTCTTAAGGAGAGGAGATGGCAACTAACCCCCGGCAGAAGCACAGTCGGCCGGGGTTCAGGGC